CATAGAGAAATTTTTTACTGACTCCCTCGTTGTCTCGAGCTCTACAGTTTGCTTGTTTAGCTTGATTATAATGTTATCTCGATTCCAAATGGAATTACGTATGAAAGAGTTACTGGACACTTGTCCCGATTAGTATGCACATTGTTTCCTTGAGCTTAAGTTATTAAGATAAGATGTTTGCTTTGTAAAATCTGAGGCCTGGCGATGAGAGTGGCGTGCACGCGGTGCTTGTCGCATTGTGTGTGGCTGACAAAGGTCGTTTCTTGGAGCTTGTCACCCACTTTTCACCGAAGCGGGGCGCAGAGGCCAGCTCTTGGAGCATTCCAGTTTGACCAGGCCCTTCGAGAAAGCAAGAGCCTTGCCGGAACGTCGCCGACATCGACCCGGCCGAGCTGCATGGAACAACTCGACCTCCCGATGTATCATCTGGCGGCGGGGGTGCTGTTGTGCCTCGCCCAAGTTCCACGTGGTCTTCGCGGCCTGCTGGCACCTGGCAGCTGTTGATGAGTCAACCCTGCACCGGGACGGCGACGGACGCGGACACTCGGGAAAAACCACGTCGCCGGCTCCTCTTGACACAAAAGTCGTTGGCCAAGCTTTTGTCAGCCGCCGAGAGCAACACTCCGAAGCAGCGTTGACTCAGCAGCTGTACGGGGTATTCTGCCTTGCTTGAGTCAACCTGGCTGCATCAGGGAGCGACTTTGCGCATGGGATTCCACGTCATCTCACTGTGGTGCCACGCTGGCGCGTGGGGTCTCCCTCACCAAACAGCGAACTGGGCATGCCTTGCCCCTTTCCTAGGTTCAGAGGGAGGCGGTGTTTGGCTTTCCCTCTTCGGGGACGGAGAGGAAGACGACGATCTCATTGGAGTATCCTGCGCATAAATTTTCTTTGCAAGGGATCTTGGGAAGGCGGACGATGTATAAAAACGCTAGCGCAGAGGCGCTCGTGTGTGATTCTCTTTTCACGTTGTACCACGTTACCATGTAAATACTGTATATAAACATTTTTTTCTCCTTCTCCGGCTTCTCTACTCGTCCTCTCCGGGGACTCGGATGGCCCGAGTCCGCACCACGCTACCCAAAGGCGCAACAGTGGCCCTCAGCGTGTTTTTTTAGGCGGTCTAGCAACCCTGTGCTCTTGTTTACTTTCCTGAAATTAGAAAGTGGTAGCCCTGCTTTCCGCGAGACTGCGGGGTCGAAATGCGTGCTTTGCAGTGGCGACACAGTTTTCATTAAAACGTCGAGAGCAGAAAAGGAAATCGCTTCCGGTACCGGTTTAGTGACGTATGCGTAAAAAACTTCCGCAGAGACCTCACGTGGGGCATTCACGTGTTCCACACGCAGATCTCGTTTGGCACACTCCGAGTGCTCGCTCCAAGATTTCGGCGGCCACTCCGGATCTACCAGTGGAATTCGTCCCTAAAACTGTTTCCCAGTGAAATCGATTACCTTCGGCGATCGTTGTCGCTGTTGGTAGTGATTCTTTTTTTTTCCTTTGTTAGAGTCAAATGAATTGTTCAGGTGATGACGGGTGTTTTGTTGTGCGGTATACATATTGTATTTGTTATCGACTTACTGTATGTTATCCGCTAGCATTTTTCGTACATTTTTGTCAATCTCCGTTATACGTTGTGTATTCAGTGTACTTCCTACTATCTGGATTGGCTGTACTGTACTTGCCGCAAATTGAGCTTGTGTTTTGTCTTGTAATCATGTTGTATTCCCCCCCCCCCCCCCTACTGTAATGCCTTATGGCGCTGTGGGTATCAAATAAACAAATAAAAGCTGACCCGCCGAAGGTAGCGAGTTCGATCCCAATAGCGGCGGTCGCATGTCGGTGGATGCGAAACTGTTGAGGCTTGTGTGCCGTGCGTTGTCAGCCGCTTGTTAAAAAGGACCCGATGGTCAAATCCCCCCCCAAGGAACCTTCGACAACTGCGTCTCTCGTAATTATATCCTGGTTTTTTGGGACGTGAAATGCCAGATATTATTATTTTCGCGTTCCTCACTTATCGCGGTGGCCCCAAGGGAGGCACGATCCGATAAGGCTAGATAAAGCTGGCGTGTAATGGTTCACGCGCGAATTATTGTAAAATACTTGCGCAGTCATATATAGTATAGGAGTTTCCCCAACATAAGCTCGACTCTTCCGCGTATACGTTGCACCGGTTCGATGACCTTTCACTGTAAGCAAAAGTTAGCCTATATGGGAGTTTCTCCAGCACATGGGCCCACAAAACTCCCCTGCCCCAATTATTTACTCCCTGGTAGGGAGTGAACTCGGCACATGTCATCGTAAAACGCCCCCTCCTTAATCACAGAGTTTATGAACGACATGACCTTGTTAAACTCCCCAGGGAGTTTCAGGTCACGTGGGTACAAACTCCCTATAGGAGCTTTAAAAACCCTCTTTGGGCGTGACGTGTGTGTGTGTGCGTGTGTGCGCACGCGCGTGTGTGTGTATGTGTGTGTACGGGCATATGTTTGCACGTCGGTGTGAAACACATGTGCTTTGTGTGGCTAACCGTGTAAGCATCTGTCAACAGGCAACGATATTATAAGTGCAGCGAAGAATAGCAACGACCGGTTGGTATTTACTGGGAACATTTCAATATATTTCGCACCGTTAAACCACGCTGCACATCGGTGTGATTCCTCAACGAAACGTCGTGAATGCCGCGCTTCAAAGGGCCGAGTAACAAAAAACTGCGAAGAATAAATTAATGGTAGCAAAAGTAAGCTGTTACGATCGTCGGCGGCTGCTCCTGGAGTTTCACCATCAGAAACATCGAAGTGGTCTGAAGTAGGCTTCGCTCGACTACGGCAGGCTGGCCGGCAACCGGTCTGAGAGTTGCGCCGGCGACGCGCTCGCCCCGTCTCCGCCGATAGTGGCTTCTCGGAGTGTCACCGGTATTTTACCGGCTGTAACATCTAAGTGGTAAGAAGGCCTCGCTATGCCGTCGGTATCAAGCCGGCATCGTATCGAACTCGCACTGCGCGCCGGCCACCTCGGCAAGAGCTACGAGCTAGCACCGACCACCGGCGATGCAAAGAATGTGTTTCACAAAAAATGAAGGCTGCTGGGATGTATAGCAGTCTTCTGCGCCTTGCGACCGCAGCTGTCAATGACTAACTACAAGGCGAGCGCCGAACGAGGCGGAGTACGATCGTCAGCGATTGCACCGTAAAACTTCGAAGCGGTTCGAAGTAGGCTTCGCTCGACTACGGCAGGCTGGCCGGCAACCGGTCTGAGAGTTGCGCCGGCGACGCGCTCGCCCCGTCTCCGCCGATAGTGGCTTCTCGGAGTGTCACCGGTATTTCACCGGCTGCAACATCTAAGCGGTAAGAAGGCCTCGCTATGGCGTCGGTATCAAGCTGGCATCGTATCGAGCTCGCACTGCGCACCGGCCGCCGTGGCGAGCTCTGCGAGCTATACATGCAATGCATGCGAGCAACGGGAACAGCGACTGCGAACCGTCTCATTCGTTTAAGCCTATCGCTCCGTAGCTTAAACTGCGTGGATAGCGGACACCTATTTCTGTGCATGGGAAAAACGAGACGTAAACTGCACAACAGCAAGCATTTTGTGATCGCCAGCTCTCATTCATCGAATCACCATGCCGTACTCGTGAGTGAGGCCTAGTCGTCGAACGCGGTAGCGGCGGTCTACCTCGGTTCATCGCTGGAGCTGCTAAATGTGACTCGTTAATGTGTTCATTCAAGGCCGCGCACACTTTGTGTATGATTCCGTGCATTTTACGGGTCCACAAACAGTACTGCTAATGCAAATTCAGCCCGTACGACACAGCGTCGACAGATGAAACTTTTTCACTATAGTAAAAAAATAATAAATATTAGGCAGGCTTAGGATAAAAGGCATGTGTGTTGAAGTGCTTACATCAGACCACCACAAGTTCGTACTTACGCCGTGCGTATTTATTGCCTAATTAATAGCGAAAAAAGGCTTTCACCAGGGCTACATGGGAGGTAAAAATGTGGTGCATATATATACCCGGTGACTTATGGTAGGTGTGTACTGCGTGTGGCAAGATGTGGTGAGTGCGTGTGTTGTGATATAACGTGAACGTTATGATAATGTTTGGGTACTGTAATCATTGTTGTGCACATTAAATGTTATGCAATTAAAGTTACGCTTGCGCATGGTACGGCTGCTGACGTATTTTTTTCTTTGTCGATGCAAAAAATTTACTCCCATACTGACCTGAAAAAGTTCCCCAACGGATGTAAATAAAAACCACCCTGGCACCATGCAAAAACCCCCTACTGATGGGGAGTAAATTTTTTACTCCCTCCGGACGGTTTTTTAAAACTCCCATCGGGGCGTGCGCTAGAGGACAAGGTCATTTACTCCCATCTCGGCTTATTGCTGTTTACAGTGATTTAGTGACACAAATGTACAGTCGGCGTCAAGAGTTTGGAGACCGCTGGAGAAAAAACATTGTATTTATCAGCAATATTTGTGACTGTATTCCGGTGAAATGTGCAGTATACAACTTCGGTATTCGAACAGCGAGTTCGGAATTCAGTCGAGGGCGTCTTCACTTGGCTTTCACTTGATGCTGAAGGCAACGATTTTCTAGTCATTCGATGAATAAGAATAATAAAGACGAAGCAACAATTAAGCATTCCCAAACCATGCCCAATTATGCAGCATTCACGCAATATCACCACCACCCTGCGACGTATATACTCGAGTTGGTCCCGTGGAAAGATGCGGGCGGCATTTTTTTTTCCTTTCCTAGCTGCTTTGAATATACTGAACACGCTGGGACAATCCACACAATGTAACGTGTTTTTCCCCTTCAAAAGCGCGTTTCATTGTACCCGGCCTGGCTCGATGTTCGATTGTTCACCTTACCCTTTTTTTCTCCCTTATCTCGATTGCATTCGATGTGGCCTTCCTATCGCGCCCAGGTATAGAGAGGGCTGTATAGCTCAGATAAGCGTAGTCCTATCAGGAGTGGTCTGTACTTCCCTGTGAAGAAACAGAAGAGACTCTTGCCGCTGGCTCGCGTCAAAGTGCTCACGCGGCAAGTAGTCTTCCCGGCGATTCTCGCGCAGACATCTCTGCATCGAGCGAACGGTTCTTTCCCAGTGCGGAGTTCGATTCGGTATAGCGCTTCATCTTCTTTTCATTTGTGCGAGACGCGGGATTGCGGATACACGGTAGCGCAGGTAACCCATTTCGTCAACTCAGGTAAGCGTCGTAGGAGATTAGCTCTCTTGGCATCGAAATGCTGCTATGCGTGCACGCGTTATTTTGGCGTGGCTGTCGGCCGAACGCCGCAGCTATATAGGCAGAACGAACCCGCCTATATAGAACTGAATGCGAGTCACTCGTATGTGCTTGTTGCCTAGCTCATTCTTATGTTGAAACAGAACATCCGAGTCGGTTGGTTCGCGTTGAGGATGTGGTTTGTACATCGCTAACACACACAAAAAGGAAAAACAATGGGTTAAGAAGTCTATGTGGCCGAAAACGAACAAATGTACACGTGTTTCTCGTTTTCATGGGGAATCCATAAGACATTGCGGAGTTAATGCACCGCGATGCTGCTCTGATCGCGACTAAGCCTGTGATCTCAGTGGTTATTGGCTTCATTCTGCACCACACGCTAATGAGCCAATCGCAATTATGAAGCATAGTCTGCGTGAGTGACCTACAGGTCACTCATGCAGACTACACTTCATACGTTCACTATAGTGAACGTGTAAGTCTATATATCTGAGCTCTCGTGCTGTTCGCTACGAGTTCGTACCCGAAACACGTGACCTTAATCATGTTAATGTTTCATGTTAACACTCACGGCGCACAGAAGCGAAAGGAACACAGAGATACCCGTCTTTGTACCCGCCTTGATCGCTCGACGGCTAAGGCGTGTCGGCGCTATCTGTGAGCACGAAGGCGCGGGTTCGATTGTTGGTCGCGAAACGGTCGCATTTCGGTCGGTACGACACTAAAGAACACAAAGTGGTCAGATTAAACTAATGTCCCCCCCTTACCCCCTCCTCTATGCGATGTACCCCATAATAGTGCGGTATTCGGGTACGCAATAAGCGAGAATTCGGTTTACTGCGTCGTCTGTTTATTCGCGTAAAGCTCTTGACTAAAATTAAGATAAGCTTTGTCAGTTTGCTCTCCCTGCTTATTCGAGTTGATATGAGAAAGCAAAATAGAGTCTGGTGTTACGCGTAGCCGAGTGTGGAGCTGATAACCGGTGCTCTATTGGAGTTGGACAACGGGTAGCTACAAGAGAAGGAACTGAAGGTGCTTATTCAAGGACGGCAGTGGTGCATTGCGACATGATTTAACAGAGTATTACTGTGGGCGAGTCGGTTAGCAGCCTGACGAAAGAATTGAGGCGCAAAGATAAGTAACGAGGAGAGATGTGTATCGGCAGGTAAATTTGCCGACTTATGAAGGGGTTTATTAATCGCTGAGATTTTACGTCCCAAAACCACGATATGATAACGAGGGACGCTGTATAAGGAGGAGGGCTCCGAGAGTTTTACCATCTGGCGCTGCTCAACGTTCTACGCGCACTGGCATCTGGCCTTTTGCTTCCATCTAAATGCTACCCCCGCGGATGGAATCGAACCCGTGACCTTAATTAGGTTCGCCATTTTAGCACCATAACAACTACAGACAACCAGGACAGGTGCCGTATTATGTGGTTAGCTATAGCTCAATAGACACAAGGGCACATGAAGACTGCACGGGAGTGTCACATCGTCCTGCAGTGACAGACGAGGAAAAAAAAAATTGAGTACCATGGTTCATCGACAGAACAAGACGAATGCCAATAAGAATTTCGTTATGTGTCGCCTATTTGAATCACGTAACAATGTGTTTCACCTGCAGCATCTCTGACCCAAAGGTTGCGGCTTCAATGCGACCGGCCGGCCGGTCGCATTTTGATGGAGCCGAAATGGTAGAAGCCAGTGTACTGTGCTATGTTATTACATGTCAAAGAACAACAGATTGGGAAAATTTGCGGAGCCCTCTACAACGGCGTCATTCGTAATCATATCGTGGTTTTGGGAAGTTAAACCCCAGATATTATTATTCACCGACTGTAATGCATGCTCGTTTGCTCCCCTTTATACGATAACTGAAAAACCTTTATTAAACAAGCCTCATCAAAGCAAAGCAATTGATTTCATTTTGTTTGTTTGTTCTTTTATTTACTTCTAGACATTCCCAACAGAGTGTCGCCTGCGGGAAGGTGGTGGTGGGGTGGAAGGGGGGTAAGGTCTGGTTCTCTTAATTTCCGCCACAAGTTTTCAATTTTTTGCGTATATATCTCTTCACACACATGCAAATGCACGCGTGAGCATACATAAAGTAAGTTTGACCCTATCCCCAACCACCCCCACCCCTCCGAAAAAATTCTGGCCGCATGTTAATCTTTATCAACGAATTTCGAGTAAACCACCCAATGCGTGGTTGGCCTTGCCGTGGGCGCGGGCTCGCTTGAGCAGTGGGAAAAACAACCGTAGATAAAAATACTATCCTTATAAAGTCACAACGTAGATAAACACGTGCATACGTGATAAGGTTCAAGGGCTCCTTCTGATGTTGCGCGTAGCGGGTGGCGTGTGTTATTCAAATGGAAGCGTCTCTTACTAAGCTGCATGGTAACATACACAGTAAAAATTTTTGCACCCAAAAGGGTGTAAAAAGGGTGCTTTTACGAGAAAGCACCCTTTGCAACACCTTTTAACACCCATAAATGGTCGATTGAAAAAAAAGCACCCCTTTGTTTGGGTGCTTGCCTCAATAGCACCCTAAAATAGGCTCTAAGGGTGCTTTTGTGCCTGAGAAGGGTGTAGGTGCCGATTCATCAGATGGAATATGCAGCATAAGAAGAAAACATAATTATATTATTTGGGATTTTACGTCTCAAAAACCTCGATATGTTTATGAGGGTCGTCGTAGTGGAAGGCTGCAGAGATTTTCACCATTTGGTGTTCTTTAATGAGCGCTCATATCGCACAGTGCAAAGGCTTCTACCTTTTCGCCTCCGCCTTAATTCGACTGCCACGGCCGGCATCGAACACGCGACCTTCGGATTGGCGGCTGAGCAGCGCAGCTACTGCACGAATACGTGGACCTTGCGTTAAATGACGGCCTAATTGACTTAGAATGTGTGAAGGTGCTCTCCGAATACAGCAGAATGTCAGCAGAAGCAAATCGCGTTTCATATATAATGGCAATTAACTGCAATCCATGTTACGAAAGCTTTCCTTAGCGTTGGTTATAAGCTGCATGTTTGCTATGGATTATATACACACAAATAATGTTCGCCCGAGTATGGGTGTGTGTGCGTGTAAGCGCGATTGTGTGTACACCCGTGCATATGTGCGTGCGCGTGTATGTGCGAGTCCCTGCTTGTGTTAAGCGTGCCTGTGCACATGTGTGCGCCCATGCATGCGTGCGTTTACGGTCGCGCGTGTGTGTGACCGTATGTGTGTATACGTGTATGTGTGTGCGCCTGTGAATAAGTATGCGTGTGTATCAGCCCGTGCGCCCTCGAATTTCGTGTGTGTGTGTGTGTGTGCGGGGGGGGGCACTGCTTCTTATTGTTTAAGGTCCCACACCTGTTCAGACTAGGAGTCTATATGGGAGGTGGCTTAAGGAATGGCGGTTGTCAACGCACTGTACATGGACTATTCAGTACATGGAAAACAGCTGCACATTTTCGTACCTGATCGTTGCTTACGAACTTACTGTGATAGCTGATTAGGTCCGCTGAGGTGCTTCTACGCTCGAAAACGTGGGTTATGACCAATTCCCACGGAAAGCTGTTACTGCACTTATGCACAACCATCGTTTATATTAACAACGTTTAACAAGAACGTGCCCTGCCTTTGCTACAGGTGCTTAGCTAGCTCATTGGGTAACCATATGGAATTATGTGCTGATCATGTGGTCAGCAAAAGTTTGTTATAACAACCTCGGCACGTTTCGTGGTGCGTGACAAGCCTTCTAAACATCCGCGACTGTGGATTAATTTGTTCCAGCTTCGACTACGCATTCAGAGTTTGCGGCACCATACGCGGAAGTGCCAGACACAGACAATGCAAAAAGAAATTCCTCTGGAAAAAGGTGTAGCGATGCTCTCCCGCTAATGCCACCGAGGACGAAATAATTATTGTTTCTGGCCATTCCATGGTGCACTTTGTTTTCCGCAAGTTTTGCTTCACTATTTTTCGCCCACTGCAGTCGCATTCCGTCAAAATACTCCAAGAACCCGAGGCTGGTAAATAACCTGCGTCGCTGTGCGACTGGCTGGAAGGAGAGTTGCCATTTACAAGGAGTCATTCCGCAAAGAACGGCCGTCCGCCGTATGCGCCATAGCGTTTGCTCGTCGGCGCCGTCCTGGCGGGTTTCCCGCTCCTCCCCCCCCCCCCCTCCCCGCTTACCCCGTGCTCCCACAACGGCGGCGTAGATAAGCGAATAGTTGCGTCACCGAACACCTGCGTCGACAGCTGCGGCGCCGCCGCGGCGCTTTAGCCGCCGCCAGTGCCTCCTCCTTCTCTCTTTCAACGTCGCTCTCTCTGTCTCATCGTCTTTCAAATGCGTTGCGTTGGTCTGGGGTCTTGGTCGCTGTGTGTGTTCTAGCGAACAGGCGCATATTCAATGGTGGTCGCACATGACACCGTGTTCGAAGTGACGCTCGGATTAAGGAATATTCATGGAGTGGCGGACACGAACAACGTGGGCCTGTTAACGGTGAGTGTACTGTTTTCGTAAATAGTAATCATACAGCGCTAGCTGGGCGCCTGCAGCAGCTCTGCCGAAGTAGGCTGCCAGCCATTTACAACAGCATGCGTTCGCGGGCCTGTTGCAGATGCCCGATTAAACGTGTGACTTAACGAGTTCACACTGATATGCGCGATGTTGTGTAAGTGCCTGCATCACTCATACAGTGAGTGATGTGATCACTTAACAAGGGCGGGATTAGTTGCTGATCGCACATTGTCTCTACACTGCACAAAGTGATTGATATTGTTTTAAGATGTGCTTTGGGCTACATCGTAATAACATTTCTATTAATACTCAAATGTGCAACGTGCTTCTGTAGGTGTAAGCGCAAAAAAAAAAGAAAGAAAAAGCAAAAATAATGTACAGAGGCGCACTGTCCGAAATGGCTTTTTTTTTTTTTTTGTGCTTAAAGGCGGTATAGTTGGAGG